AAGGCAGCTTTGTAAATGTTTATGAAGGAGGCTGAGAAGGGTATCATCTAATTAAAAACAAATAAATCATCCACTGTCACTTGCATCCTAACCTTCACATTTGTAATATGTAGACACAGTATTTAAATAAACTGAACCAACACAACTGGCAGTCTGGGACCCTGCTCTCCCTTTCCCAAAATTATTTGATTTAAGGCCCCTTTCAAGCATTCTAACAGGTAAGAATTTTAATGAAGGTTTAGACCTGCCTGCACAGTCAAATGTTAAAAGGAACAGAAAGCTTTAGTATAGCTACTGTGTGGAATTCTACAGTTGTCATGGTACTTCAGAGCCAAAAACCAAAATAAGTTCATGGCAAAAGATAAAAGTAAAGAAATAGACACAAAGGTCTGTGAAAACATCTCCCATTTTGCTGTAGGTGTCCATGGAGCGACTGATCACTTCTGCAGGGATTCCAGAGAGGAGAAGAGCAGCAGTCAGTACTGTTGTTTTCACCTTCTTCTCACACTAGAAGGGAAAGAAAAACCAGCATCATGTTAGTTCTCCTAATCCAATTCTGCTTTACATGTCACCGATGTTGTGCCAATTTCACACGTTCCAAATGCGTTGTCAGAGTAGCAGGTTTGCATTGATTCTGTCCAGACACACTCCAGGAGTCACAGCACTTATCCGAGACACAGATTCCTGCTGGGATGGATCTACCAGCGACAGGCTGGCTAACAGCAGATAAATTCATCCTGGATATTCTGATGTGAGGCTGGGCAGCTGCTCCTGCATGAGTGGGAACATTCCCAGACAAGGGAAATCTAGGTGTAAGAAGCCAAGCCTGGCATCTCCACTGTCAGAACTGGATTAATCCATCCCACTATTCAGCAAAAACCAGAATCCCAGAATGGTTTGAGTTGGAAAGGACCTTAATGCTCATCTCACTCCAACCCCCTGTTATGAGACACCTTCCACTAGACCAGGTTGCTCAAAACCCCAGAAATACTGTTAAGTTTTCTAAGAGAAAAATTATTTAGAGTTGAAAACCAACTGTTTCTGTTTTAGAACAACTTTGGCAGTTTTATCCTCTGAACTCAGAAATGCTCCAAACTCTTTTGAAAGCTGTTCCATCCTTAGGATGAGGAATCCCAAGGATGCAAGTCTGACATGCAGGAAAAAGTGATAGTATCTGAAAATTCTAATAATTTGATGATAATTGCTGGATATTTTAATTTAATCCAATCTAAATGAGGCTTTCTGAGTATTTCTGTTTTTCATGGGAGAAAAATGAAGGTTAACAAAGGGATTGACCTCACCCACCCATGTCTAACTGCAGTAAAAGCAAATTGTGGAAAGGAGCCACCTCTTGAATTCTGAAACTGAAGGGTGGATTTTAAGTACACAATAAACAAGATCAAAGTGATGTACCAGATGAGCTGGTGCAAATCTAAGGCTAATCTTCCTGTTTTGTGTTGTGACACATCACCTTAGAATGACTACTATGATATGCTTAACTACAAAACAACTGCTGATTTATTCTGATTTTCTACAAGTAATCTATTATTCTTTTTAAAATGCAAATTTTCCCTTTTAACTATGTATTGAACATCATTCAATCCCACTCTGCACAACAGAGCTGACAAAATCATCAACCTAACAAATGCTTAAGGAACAATTACTTGTTGTAAATATGTAAAGCAAGTGGTATAGCAAATCTTGCTAATAAGCAGCAAGTTTCACACACAGATAAATGTCTCATTTCAAGCTGTCATTTAAACCAATACCAGCAGTGGAAAAAACTCAACATTCTGCCTCATTTTTTAACAAACACTCTCCCAGATTTCATTGGGATATTATATGCAGAACAGCTGTTTAGCAAAGCAAATAATAACCAGGGAAGAGCACGGTCTAGAAGAAAAGCAAGTTTCCTGAAGACATGAAAGAACTACCTGGATTTCCTGGTCAAACACTTTGAATTAGGCTACAGCTACACAAGCTGCTAGTTTTCACTGCAACTTTTAAAAAGATCCTGGAATAAATCTGGAAACATTAAAAACTAATATAAACTATCAGCACTGGTCATTCAACTATACAGTTTAAAACAAGGGAAGAATACTTCACATGCATCGGTCCTAAAACAATACAATCTAAATACAACTTTAAACTGAAAACACCTCAAATTAATCTAATTCTGAAAAAAAAATTACCTTTGGAAAGTACTTGGACAGTCCCATGTAAGCAAGTTGTAGAGTAAGGAACGGTGCAAATATTGACTGAAGGAACAGAAAAGAATATATAAAAATTAACTTGGTCAGAATAGCTAAGAAACACAAAGATTGAATGCTTCCAAAGCAGAAAAGAAAATTATTAGGTAAAAATTAATTTGTGGAACAGAGCAAAGTTGTTCTTGAATACTACAAATCTAAGTAGACAAGTTACATGCCAAAAATAAGGTTCTGCCCAATATTCTTTGAGCCAAAAGAACTGAAATGGCAGAAGAGAACAGCAAAGTGTAAAACTGAGCCCAGTGTGTAAAACTGAGCCCAGGGATCCAGGAGCTGGATGGCTGCAGCTGCATCACACCTCTGTGCTGTTGTTCTGGCTGGCACTGGGAATACTGAGGAACTACTGATAAATGAGTAGGATCTACTTATCTTGGTACAACTATTATTCTTAGAATCACAGAATTATTTGGGTTGAAAGTGGCCTGGAAAGCCATCTCATTCCAAACCCATGGGCAGGGATACTTTGCACAAGATCAGTCTGCTTCAAGCTTCATCTAATCTGGCTTTGGACACTTCCACAGATGAGAGCTCTATTCTTACTCTATTATTCTTTTGTAGACCCTAAACTCGAGGAGCAGCTGACTCATATGCTCACCAAGATAGGAAAAAACATGCAGGGCATTTAAGCTGCAACAACTATTCCAGTGCTCCACAACAACACACACAAAAGACCAAATGTGCTGCTCTCAGTGGTTACACAGTGGCTGTATTCGTAGCAAATTAATCTCATAGAATTCAGCCATTTTTCTTTAGGTTTTATACAATTTTTGGAAATGTAAAGAGTGCCTGAAGTTCCCAACTTGGTCGTTACCAATAGGCTTCAGCCCCAGATATTTCCCAATAACTTGCACCGAGCAGCAAGGCCCAGCAGGATGTGTCCCTGAACTCACCAGGTACTTGCACACGAAAGCCCTGACCACGATGGCGAGCAGAGCACACCCCAGCAATCTGAAAATGCGGAAAGAGTCAAACTCCTCCGCCGCATTCCCGTTCTCCTGGCTCGGCTTCTCACTCATCAGCTGGTTCCTCAGCTTCAGAGCTTCATCAAACCTGGACAGGTACTGCTCCAAGCCATGTCTCGGTGGCCGCGGTGCAGCCTCAGAGGGCAGCTCTCCCCTGTGCCGCTGACGGAGCTCGCCTGTCCCCTCGGTGACCAACTCTGGGGCTTTACCAAACAAGTCCTTGTCCCCTCTGAGCTCTGCCATGCTGCCTGCATGCTCGGTCGAGCCTGTCACGTTACACATAGAATCACCAAGCACAATCCGCTTGGAAACTGAAGGAATGGAAAGGGAATTTGATTTCTCTTGCTCGTGCTGAAGCTTTAATTCTGTGTGACTTTCATCATCTAAGGAAGAAAAATAAAAACAGAGTTATGCACGCTGTGTACATGGAACAACACTTCAGCTACACTGGGTCAGGATCCTGGGCCTCTGCTTCCCAAGAGAAAAGACAGATTGATGATTAAAGAGGGCACTCTTCACGGAGCAGACACAAGACATAAGGCTGTGCAATGCAGGTCAGAAGTTGAAGCAACAGAGATATTAAAACACTGAGCTTCCTTAAGCAAGAGCACTGCACACACAAACAGAAAGATCCAAATACATGGACTGATATTAAAAAAAAAAAAAGACAAAGATTTGCAGAAAGTGAACCAACCAGAAGAGCACTAATACCTGACAAATAAGCAGACAAGAGAAGTGCACTTTAGCTTGCTGTTCTACCGTAAGAGGCAGAGCAGTGTTAACCTGTTCTGTATCAAGCCTGAAGATCCATCTTACAGAGACAGAGGTGAAGGCAGAGAACAAAAGGCAAATCAAGAGCATGTCTGGACCTACCACAGAGCAAGAACTAGCACTTCAGGAATTCTTTTCAGTGTTAAGTCAGACTGATTCACAGCTCATGGGCATCCTTATAAACCAAAATCTGAGAACCCTTTCCTGACAAGACAGCCCATTTGAAGAATGTACAGAGATATACGTGCACTACCCAGGATATTGCTCTGCAAGAAAATTCTGCATAACAACCACAAACATCTATGTCACTATCCAAATGTGCGATAACTTGGCTATAAAAAGCCAGCTATGAAAGGCAACAGCTACTGACTAAAAACATGGGGGAAGCTCATCGATTCTTCAACTAAAAAACCTACTTGCAGTGAAATGACAGCTTGTATGCTCGCTGTCTAGGGACCGTGCCGGGCCCAAGTCCCGACCTTCCCGGCGGCACAGGGATTTTTTGGGCGGGTCCCTGGCGGAGCAGGCAGGTCGTGCTGCTGGAAGCATCCCTGTGGCCGGAGGCGGCACTGAGGGGAGCCAGCCGGCCCTGTCCCTGCGGGCAGCCAGCCGCTCCTGCTCACCAGGGCACCGCGGGCAGCGCTCACGGCCGGAGAGGCCGAGGCGTCACCGCAGCCCCGGAACCCTCACACAGCCCCGCCGCACCCGCCACGGGGCTCACCCTTGCCCGCCGCAGGCCGGTGGAAGCCCATGATGCGGTTGATCCGCTCCTCCGAGTTCATGAGCAGCTTCCTGCGGCGCAGCTCTGCGCGGCGCTGGGAGGCCGAGAGCCCCGCGGGGGGCCCCGGCGGTGCGGCCGCCGCTCCCGGGCCGCCGTCCGCCATCCCCGGCACCGCAGGCCCGCCGCCACGGGCCCGCCCCGCCCACCGCGCAGGCGCCGGCACCGCCCGCCTCCAGCCCCTGAAGCGGGCGTCGCCATTTTGCGTAGGGGCAGGAGAAGGACGGGGCGCGCTGGGAGAGCGCTCCGCGCGCCCCTCTCTGACGGCGCGGCGCCCGCACTCAAGATGGCCGCCGCGGCCTCAGGCGTGACGTCAGGGCGCGGGGGCGGGAAGGGGCGATGGTGGCGCTGAGGGGAGCCGGTGACGGGGACTCACACGGGACAGCCCTGAGCCTGGCACGGTACCGCCGCGGGGCTGGCGGTGCACGCCGAGGACACACCAGCAGACAAGCACCGCTCGAGGACGCCAGAGCTACTGGCATTATCGAACAGGGAGCGTATTGACTTCTTTGCTGTAAGATCCAATTGGCATAATATCCATCTTTATGGCCACCGAAAGTCCGGCACACCTCTCCTTGTGTGCCAGGTAATAAAACTGCCACGTTACCCTGACCAGCCCATGACACACAGGGCTCCCATCAGCACCACTGCCCTGGCACCGAAAAGCTGCAGTGCCCTGCTCGGAGGCGCTGCCACGGGAGCGGGACTCGCCTCCAGAGCCCGGCATCCCAAAGCCACTGCCAGGATAAACCCGCTGCCAGGACAAACCCACTGCCAGGACAAAGCCCACTGCCAGGACAAAAGCCCACTGCCAGGAGAAACCCGCTGCCAGGACAGGTGCCCACTGCCAGGACAAACCCACTGCCAGGACAGGTGCCCACTGCCAGGACAAAGCCCACTGCCAGGACAGGTGCCCGCTGCCAGGACAAACCCGCTGCCAGGACAAACCCGCTGCCAGGACAGGTGCCCACTGCCAGGACAGGTGCCCACTGCCAGGACAGGTGCCCACTACTCCCCCAGCTACTGCAGGAGTGGTGGAGTTCAGCAGCAGCAGGACAGTGTTATGTGTATTGGGAAAAAAAAAAACTAGAGCTGACAAATCAAATTAATATTTCTACAATATTGAATGAGAGAATTCTGTATTTAAAACCAGTTAAATACAGAAGTCAGACTACCAAGCTCATGCATTAACTCATCTATAATGAGCCAGAGGCAGCAGTGAGAACATCTCAAAAAAATCTGTAAGCATTTAGATGGAATGGCTTTTACAAAAAAGCTGCTGAAATAATGGGATGTTAAATGAAGATACAGGATTAGCTAAAATAAAATTCATCACCATCTTGGAATGCTGCTGAAGGCTAAATTCCAGCCATCACTATCAGCAAGCTCCTGTGACCAACATGTTTTTCTCTCAATTAAATACATTGTTCTACTTTTATTTATAAGAAAAGAGTGATGGACTGGCATGAGTTCTTTCAATTAATTTTATTGAGTAGCCAAATCTGATAAATTAGCACAGATAAAATAAGCATTTGCATGTGTTATAAATGACTTTTTACAGGAATAAAACAGTGAAAATTACAAACTGTAAAAAGGAGGACAAGTAAATCCTGTCTCAAATTCAGAAGGGGGAAGATTTATAACTTCATACTGAAGATCAAATCTTTGCATTCAGAGAACAAAGATTTAATATTACAATATTATACACTACTTTACAAAATTAAATTTACTGTAAGGATTACATCCATAATAGTAAAAAGAACCTTAAAATCACATTTAATGGTCCCTTAACTTAACAGCCATTCTGCATCTTTGATTAAATTCTGTTAAGAAATTAATTCTAAATAAAAGTGAATCATTCTAGTTATTGCAACATAGTCTATGTGGACTTAGACTCAAATATATTAATTTAAAAACAGTAATGAAAGCAAAGTAAAATGGATGGTAACAATGTTGGCTGAACACTTATGTGTCAAAATAAGAAACAATATTAAAAAAAAAAAAGTGTTTGACTACAAAGAGAGACACACCTCCACCACAGATTTACAGTGGTGGAGTTGTGGTGCTGAGATCTAAGTAACAGAACCACTCTTGCCTATTTTTGTAGTCCATCTTCAGTGTCCTCGTTTTACAATTGTATGTAAAAAAGCAACCACAGGTAGTGTGTGTGTTCATGTTCCCTGTATTGCCATTACAGCAGTACAAGTGAACCAGCAGGCCTTCCCCACTGCAAGGGAATAAACAAAGTTCAATAATTTCTTCTGAAGTGAACTCTCAGAGGGTTCATCTGACTCATTTATCATGTTTTGCTCTGTAAAACTTAGGGACTCATCTTCAAACTTGTTAACTGCCACAAAGACTGACATCTTCAGCCATTAGTCTGGTGCACATAAAGCAATGTGAGATGGAGGCCATCTCCAGTATTTATGTTTCTTAAAAAAAAAGGGATAAAGTAGCAAAATACAGTCACAGTAAGAAATAGACTTTGGGTGGGCTATTTGATGTAAGGATGGTTTTCAATTCAAATTCTGAGTGATAATATACCCCAAACCACAAGATTTAGGGCAGAACCTACGCAAGTGCAGAGGTTCCATTTATGATTTAAATGAAGAGATCCCTTTCCCTCTCCCTGTGGGGGGAAAAAAATCAGACTGCCAAAGCTTAAAAGACATCTCTTCACTATGACTAGAAACTGTGCAATTCTGTGAAAAGCAGTTCAAGTAAATATATTCCTGTTTGCTACGGAGGCAGCAGACAGGGAAGCTTAAATTGGTTCTTTAATACTATTTTCATGCTGTTTTAGCCATTGTTCTGAACTTTAGCTTCTTGTGCTCAAGAACAATTTCTCCCAAGCAACTCCTCCCCTGACGCGAGGCAAATCCTGACAATTACAAGCAGCTACAGCCTGAAATGGGAGCAAATGTTTACCCAAAAGTTGACCCTACTGACATTTTTATCTCCAAACGTCCTAAGCACAGTACATTTGACCACTCACAAGTATTTTACCTCTTCAAGTTACTTGCCCCACAAAGTAAATTTTGAAAGACCTTTAAGCTTACCACTATTAAATAAAAAAGCAAACCAAGATTTTTCCATATGCAACACTTCCATGGGCATTGGAATACAGTAACTTAAAATACTTTTTACATTGGTAGCTATCAATGATAGCTTAATCTTGAAAACTAAAGAATTATCAATACACCTCTATAAAATTATTTAAATATTTTTTGTATACAAGTTTTTACTTCAAGTCCAATGTCAGCTTCGGTCTGTAGCTCTGGCAGGATCTCAGAGTATATTTAAAGCTTTTATTTGGTGCACAGTGGCCTTGAACCTGGGCTCATTACACAGCTCCAGCAAAACACCTTTTTTTTTGAAAACTTCAGGCATTTCTGCAACCATATACATATCTTCAAATTCAATATAATAATTTTGTTCTTGGAAAAATAATTTCCAATTTGAATGTCAGAATATTCAGTGTTGCAGACCAACATTTGGTCTGAAGTGCTGCCAACAAGCTTGCTTCAGAAACACACCAGATCTGAGGGGCCCAACATTCACTTAAAGTACACAAGAGCCAAAAGTCTACTGAACGTAAACCAAACAAAATCTGAGATAGCCTTCCTTGCTCTTCCCCTCCCACACTATTCATAAGATATTAAAACTATTCCTTTTACTGAAGAAAAGCAAAGCTTACAATCTAAGTCTACTTTTGCTGCCAACTCAGCCAATGACTTTTTAAAATCTGCCTCATGTAGGGCCCACTTTTCCCCACTGTTTTTAAAATTAGAATACTGACTTATTAAAAGCTTCAACAAATTCAGCCACCTTATCCAGGTTAAGCTTACCTTTAGTCCTATTAGCCATAATCCAATCCAAGCACTGGATTCTACACTTCACAAGCATTTGTTCATTTCACAATGAACACTTCCTTCATTGCTACTTTAAGCAATAAGTTGAACATTGAGATGCTCTGTCTACAATCACTGGATGCACTTAGAAAGAATTTCCCTGCAAATCATGATCAGTATTGTGAGGTTTTATATCTAGCAGCAACAACAACAAAAAACAAAACAAAAAAAAGTTACAGAAATATACATTTTGAACAACAAAGAACTCTTTATTTTACAAAATGTATTTCACCTTTTCAGTATTGCCTTTGTAAATGTACTTCATGCTGCAACTACTTACAGTAAAAACACGATTTGCAGCAAATTAAAGGTGCTCAACCAGTTCCAACAGTTTTGATTTTTTTTAAGGTACAATATTATGTAGTTGCACATTTGATTCTCAGATGTGGTCCTTTATTTGCTTTAGTTCGTTGAAATCACAGTGAGAACTTCTCATCAACTGCCTCAGGCCACAGATTTAATAAAGATATTACAAGCACAATCATTCTTTACTGCAAAATCTTTCCTTAAAGAAGTAAGCCAGAGGCTAGTGTTTCATTTATTCACTTGCTGCTGTATATGAAGGAGGAATTCATAGTATGATAAGGCTGATTCTGTTCTGTCTTCAATCATATTTTGCAGAAAAATTGATTTCAATGGACTTTCATCCCTTAAAAACAAAAATATAAGTGTTTGAGTGGAATTAACATTTGCCATGGGCTACCGTGCACTAATAAAATTACAGGTCAAGTGTCAAGACATTTCAAAAGCTTAAGGACATATGAAAAAAGGATCTCAAATAGTCTTCAGTAGTGATTAATCCTAATAAGTGCTCTTACTAGCATTTACTTCATTTATCTGACATTGCCTAAAGATTCCTCTGTGACATTTAGTCTTTCTTAGTATTTTGAAATTCTAATTGGAGACAACTCATAAGTCATATCTGTAGTCAAATCTGTCAAGCACAGCACAGACTATTGTTAAGAATTCCATTAAGAAAGTTCAGTATATGATATCCAAGTATGTATTGTTAACAAGTTGCTGAAGAAGCAAAGAGACTGTTAAAAACCACTTACTTTATAATATATAGTATAGGAAAGAAAGGTCTCTGCTCCCTCAGCCAAGAAATGAAAGTTCGTGTTCTGATGGATTCTGCCGTTTCAAGTTCTGGGAGATGTGTCTAAAAGCCAAAGGGTTTCATTAATACAAATTTTTCATAAAAACAGTAAAAGGAACACTTCAAATAGCCCAACTCATTAGGTATAAAGAAAACCCAGACAGATCTGTTTTGTGATGTATAGTTTCAGTCTTGTCTTCTTTGAAGGGGCTTGAAATAGTCAAGAGCACTAAACTCCTTTCAGCAATTAGCTGTCAGAATGGTGATGACTGAGCTGTGATTGATTCCTGTTTTGTTGCAGAAACTAAAGGATTTCCCACTAACCCACGGTGCTCTCTATTTGCAAGTGTTCTTAGTCTGCTCCCACAGGTCTGAGAAACTCAATCATTGTCAGCCTCTTCCTACTGTGTCTTCATGAGGGGAAACTCCAAGAGGTAACAGCGATTATTTCTTTCCTTGGATCTGGATCTATACCACTAGAGGGCTAATATCTGAGTAGTGTAATTTAATTCTCGTGAAAATGATATTCTGTCAGCACTGTATGTATGACTGATGTGCAGAGCAAGCACGTACCATATTCTGTGGTATTGAGCCATAATTTGGAACTCCAAGGACTTGGCTGATAAAACCCTGCCCACAGTTCTTCCCAATCCACAGAAACATCACCTGAAAAACACCCAACAATAACATTAATCAAACCCAAAACACCCCTCAGCAGTCTCATACATATTTTGGGTTCTCAGAAAGAACACACCAAGTAAACCTGGATACTTTTTTAAATCCCCCCCACCACATAACTTACAGAGCCAGCATCCATAAGATAAGCACCATCCCTACTCAACTTCTCCACTGACAGCTGGAGAAGGGGTGGCTGAGGTATAGTTCTGTCATTTATGTTAAGAGCTCCCTAAAAGAAGGATGAAAAACAGTGGTTCACATTTTGATGCAAAAAAACAGAGCAGAACACTAAATAAGAGGAGGATCTATTACACTGAATACTGGAATGGGACCATTTTTTTTTCAGTTTAGCTCAATCCATACTTAAAGTGATCATTTACTTTATTAATTAGTAATTTACTAATAAATACTAATGTTTTATTTAGAGAGGGTGGATGTCATCAAATGTATTTTAGTTAATTAGGTCTAGAGCTGGAATATCTGATTTATTATGTACCAAAGATGTGATTTCAAAAATTGTTCAGGGTTTTACATAAACATTCCCTGTTCTCAAAACTGTTTGATATTTTAACATAAAGGAAGCTACAAAGGGACAAAACCCACATGATGATGTCTTTATGTATATGTGATTTTATAGCACAAGATAATGACACAAGGCAAGGGTGAAATAAGTTAGGAAAAAACTTTCCCTATCCATCCATAGCAAAGCACAGCTCTTCTCCAGAATTCATCAATCCAGTTCCAAATAACAAATGCATAAATGCAACAAGTGGGGAAATATGAAATATTGCATTTTAGCTGTGCAGCTTTAATATGGAAAACTTGGGAGATTTCTAACACATTTACTTTTACATCACACAGATCTTTGGAATCAAACAGATTATGCAGCAAGGCCAAGACTCACCTCATCTGTGAGACTATCGACTCTGTACAGACTGGGATGTGTCATGAGCATGAGGTAAACAAGGGGCTGGTTTTTCACCTGACACATGGTAAAGATGCGTTCATCCAAACGTGTGTTTGTCCCAGTTTGAAATGATTTCTGCAAACAATCAGGCATTTAGTTTAACCATTAAAGCAAAGCAAGATAAGACACATTGCCTACTGCTTATTTCTAACTTAAGTTTTAAAGATGTACCCTAAGTCTTTTCTCATTGTATTTTACTTCTCCATAGTTCTCTTCAGTGTTTCACATAGAAATCAAACAAGTCTCACACCCATTTCTGGATTTTAGAATTAACCTCAACCTGGCACCATCAGTCCTCTCTTACAGCTATGAAAGCTATCTCTTACAGAGATGAAAGCACCCTGAAATACTAACATACACCTCAAAAATGCTACTTGATGAAATTTAAAAGCATAAATATTGGAGCAGTTTACAATTGGCTTCAATGTGCCAGAATCTTAGGTCTGTATTAACAAGAAAGAGATAGTCCTGGCTTGCTGGGACCAAAAAAAAAGCTATAAATCAAAGTAGGGCTCACTCGTCCCACCTGACTGGATCAAATGCTTATCAAGCCTTTCACATGAAAAAGCTCAGTATGAACATGCTGGTTAATTCCTAACCAAGATGTATGAATCCAAAACTTCTTTTTGAACCAAGAAACCAGTTTGTTCAACACTTAAATGATTTCTAGTATCAGTTCAGGGAAATTAAATTTAAAAATACTTACACTGATCAAATACTGTGAAATGCTTTAAACCTGTTGCATGAACAGCCAGCCAACTCCCTCTCTGCCACACCCAGCTCTCTTCTAATCCACACTGAACTGCTGTGTGGATCTGCATTTCCAGAGACACACAAAACTGAGATTCCTGAGAAAACACTATCAGTACCCTGACACATTCTCTTCACTAGTCAGTGTCTTTATTATTTTGCCATCCATTGCTTAAAACATTTATACTTTTGGTTTAACGCACATTTCTAAATTCCTGCTTTTGAACTAAATCATTCCCCATCAAACTGTCCTTGTACTTCAGGCTGACTTGCCAAACAATCATCCTCTTGCCTGGCTTCCCTTCCCCTCTTACCTGTTTTAAGAGTGCCAGTATATAAAGCGGGAAGAGCCGCAGTGAGAAGGGAGCTGTGAGCCCCGGCTGTTGGATGCTCAGCACGGAGGAGCGATAAGCAGCTAAAGAATCGATCACTGCATTGACCAAGGCATCCCGAGCATCGCTCAGCGTGGCGGAAACGGAGCGGTCCACAGCTGACAACAGAGTGCAAGGCTCAAGTAAGAGGGGCTCCTCCCTTGGCAGGAATACAGCCACAAACATTAACTTCTTTCATGTTATCATATATGTTGATGCAGCTTAAGCTTTTACTACATTCTAGGGGAAGTCAAGTGCTTCAGAAAAAAGCTGGAGGCCCATTATGATGCACCACACTAAGCCTAAGCCCAGGTGATTACACACAGCTCTACTGATCCTTCACCTAAGCCAAGCATTAAAACCTAAACTCTCTTAGGATTGCAACTTCAAAAGCACTCTTAGAATGAGGGAGAATCTTTTCTTCTAATCCAGAGGATTATTGTTCAGACCTTTAAGGATACAATCCACACAAGCTCTTAGCACACTCACCCATATTGGCTAGGAGCCCTGTGATGGCCTGCACATCTGCCCCCAGGTACACTTCACTCAGCGTTGTGACAACAGGTAAGCACATAGTGTGGACACGAATTCGTCTTTCACCTGCAAGGAAAGACAACTGTAACCTCCATACTTGTTTGATGAAGCAACACTACAAAACCCACTGCTGGCTCAATCTAACCTTACCTTTGCTGGAGGTGTACAGGAGAGCTGACTGAAAAGAAACAACTTGCATATCAGTAAGACTCTCTTCCACTGACATTTGCACAGCGTATCCCGCATCTGGGTTTACATTGGGTAATGACAACAAGTCTGTAGATCGTACAAAGAAGTTCCCATGGAAAGTATGAATGGAAAGACCTACAAGACAATAATGAATCAGTATGGGTCCCATAGCTGTGAAGTACAGGCACTATATACAGATCTGCCATCAATGTATATGACTGTACTGGCAAGTTCCCTCTCAATGAAATATATCATCTTCAGAAAAGGTAAACACTGCAAACTGACAACTCATCCAAAGAATCCACAA